AAGCTGATTGGACGGTGTTAATTCCTCCGCTGTGTATTATCACTTGTAGTCTGTAATGTTCGTGTTCGTGCTGTGTCTACCATTAACAATTAAACATGTCTTCTGTCTGAATTAAAGACACGATCCCAGACTTTGACAATAGCCTACATTCCCATTTCTCATTTCACAAAGCCTTCGAGCACACTGTAAAATTCTACCATACTTTTTTTTCTCCATTTTTTATTAAGACTTTCACACAAAATTCAAGACTTTAAGGACTGGAAAACAGTGTTTCAAAATTCAAGACTTATTAAGACTTTCTAAGACTTTCAATACTTGCGCAAACAGCCTGTTATGTACCAAAGGAGGGAGCTTCATTTTGTCGGGATAAACGTGTATTATTTATACATGTTAAAATGAGTTTCTCGGCGGCGTCTTCTTCTGTGCTTCGGCGACAACAGATCTATGGAAAATGAACCAAAACCCTTGAATCCGCAGTAACTTTTACAAAGGTAATGTTTATTCATATTTACATGTATATATTATTCTATGGCCAGTAAAAGGAGATCATGTACAAGGCAAGGGAACAACAGAAAACTGTACAAATTAATAAATAAACAAAGACATCATCGTTATTCGTACACCAGACAAAGATGAACAAACAGGAAGGAGGCAGTTTGGGGCAAATGTGGTGAAATCTGACCAACAATGGCACTCGGTCAAACCCCACGTCACTTTGAAACTCATTTTGTTGTAAACGCTTTTGTTTTATTGTAAAATTCACAAAATGCCCGAGGGACACGTAACTACAGACTACACTCAGGTCAAATCCACACCCGATAAAACCAGCGGAAAGAAGAAGAAGACGTGAAAATACTGCAGAGATTTGGGATTTTGTTTGGAAAATTATGTTTAATTATGGATTGTTATTGGCTGGAGAAGCAGACAGAAATGAAATATTTGAATTAGGAAAAGCAGTAGCAGCTGAAGTAGTAGCAGTAGCAGTAGCAGTAGCAGTAGTAGCAGTAGCAGTAGCAGTAGTAGTAGCAGTAGTAGCAATAGTAGCAGTAGTAGCAGTAGTAGCAGTAGTAGCAGTAGTAGTAGGGGCTTCTGTCTGCTCTTCTAAACCAATGGTTCTCAACCTGGGGCTCTGGACCCCAAAGTGTGGCTCAGACTGTTTCGATATGAATAAATAAATAACTGTAGCATGCGTCATAATTGATCAGAATGTTATTATTTGTTGTTAATCCAATTATTTATATTTGTCCCAGTTTCCGGTTTGACCCAAGATCAGAAAAACAGTTAAAGTATGTGTACGCTGAAGCAGGTTGAGAACCACTGAAACAACAATGACCCACAACTGTTTTTTCAGCAGTTTCTTCCAATCCGCCATTTTTCCTCTTTCCTCCCCAAACGTGACGCCATATTATTCTTTTTTCATACACAGTAAACACATCTCACTATGGAATTCTCTTTTTTTGGCACAAAATGTCAAACTGCGATGGACCCAACTCACATTTTTCCCATAATCCTGCTGTTTTTTTATACGTTGAAATATGTAAGTTTCACAGTGCAGGGAGGAGTCTCGTCTGAAGCTCACAGTGTCGGAACGATCCACCATTTTCCCTTTTTTGTATTTTAAAATATAACATTTCATCAAAACGTCCAAATCTTAAAGCAAGAAGTAAAAGTGCAAAGCAGCGAAACGTGATCTAATGTAGTGTAAGAAAAGGCCAAAAACTAGTATTTTAGTGAAGACGACAGAAGTCTGTGTGTTTACAGAGAAAGGGGACTTTTCAATATTTACTCTCCAAGTTTATTTGTCCTTATTCTTTTAAAAATATAGAGATTTTTGTTATTTTTTTTGTATAATGACTGTTTGGGAGGATTTATTTGAACATCCTCCGCTCAATTAAGACGTAAGAATAATTAAGTGAAGTCGTTTCAATGTTGTCTCTAGTATTTTAAACTATGTACATTCTTTATTTTAACAAGATTAAATGTCTTCAGTTTTGACGTAAACACACAGACTGTAAATGTTAGAAGAGGAAGCACCGCCCTCTAGTGGTTAACAGTTAAATATTCAAGTTTGAGATCAGTTTGTCTCTAAAAATGTTTTGAAGAAAATAACAAAACAAATTTGGGGCAATAATTAAACTCCAAACCCTTGTCACTACAGCCTACATTTCCCAGAATGCTTTGAGTGAAGAGCTGCTCCAAACGGCAGGAGGACCTCAGAGAAACATCACTTGCACGTGTCATGTTTCCGAAACAAAAAAAACGGCTCAAAAAATATGATTAAAAACATCAAGGTGCGTTCGTAGAAGTAAAAACATGTCATTTTTGAACCACGTTAAAATATAGAAGGTAAAAAGTTAAATGTGTTTAAAAAAAGAACAAAACAAAGAAACGCCAAGAGCCATGTTGGAAAACTGAGTCTGAATCGAGCGAGATTTCAGGTTTCTACTTTTTTCAAATCATCGTTTAAAAAAATGTACCGTTATTTTTCTTTAGATTCGACAGAAAAACAAGATTTGAAACTGAAACCACAACTATCAGGAACCATTTTCCAACACGGCGGCTTGTGGCAAACACAAATGACTGATATTAGCCAATCTTAGCCGTGTCCATTATTAGCCTCAGCCGTAATTAGCCAGTATTAGCCTAATTAGGTGATATGAGCCAGTATTAGCCAAAATTTGACAATATCAGCAAAACGAAATTATAAAAACAAAGTCCAACGACATCGATGCCAAATCAAATGTACAGAGCAAAACCATGAGTCCAAAATGTGACCAAAAAGTATTAACAAAAGTCACAGTCCGTTTGTTCATATTTACACATTTGTCCGAGAGCAGCTCGTAGTGGTTTCTTCAATACAAAAAGAAATTTAAAAAAAATCGGTATTTGTAAAACGGACGCTCGGTCAGTTCCGGACATGAAGATTTGGAGTTTTTTTAAAATGCAACGTTCAGTGCGTTCTGTGGAAACACGCGTCGGCGGAACATTCAGAAAAACCACAAACTTGAATCCATTCGTCGGGAACAAAAGGATTCTTTGAAGACGACACGAAACAAATGAAAGGTGCACTTTGCGACGTCTGTGGGACGAGCTCAGCGCCGCAGGATCCACCACTACCAGAGTTTTTTAGCAATTATTCTGCCTTTAATCACTTTTTTCATCTCTGTATCGACTCAAACTGAAATCAACCTCTTTGTTGCTTCTATATCTCTCGGTTTTAGGCACTTTTACCGTCACACTGCATCTCAAACTTTTGGTAAAGGCCTAGAATTAAAAGACGAAGGTTCAACAACAACAACATACAAACTAAAAACACACACAGATTTCTTCAAGGACTGAACATCAAAGGATTAACTTCTAAATAACAGGGAATTTTAGACTTTGATGTCACAGATGGAACTATATCTGTAAATCTGCACTTTATTTATCCCCGTAGCGAATTGAACCTCTGCATTTGACCCATCCTGATGCCACTAAGGCGTCTGTCAGAAGCAGTGGTCGCCATAGTAACAGCGCCAGGGAACTATCTCCAGATGTTGATGCTCTTATTGTGCATGTTTTTAGTGGTAAGGGAAACCGGAGCACCTGGAGGAAACCTGAACATGCAAACTCCACTCAAGCGAGAATGCTAACCACTCAGCCACCTAGCTGCTGTTCTGTATAATCAAGAGGGGGGTGGTAACTAGGGCTGGGCGATAAAACGATAACGATATATATCGCGATAGACATGTGTTTGATATCAATAGAGAATGGGGTCGATAGAATGTTCGATAGTTTAACTTAAATCCGTCAGGAAAAACAGGAAGAAAACACCGGAAGTAAAGCCGACTCATAAGCGCATGGCATTGTGGGGGATTTAGGCAGAGGCTTCTCGACCAATAACAGCCGAGCAGGAACAGCAAAACTTTGCGGCAGAGGCAGTGGACAGACACGATGTATTCGGCGAAAGCAAGAGATTAACTTTTTCCTCGGGAAGCATGTGCGGCACAGAGAGCCGCACGGAGCGGTCACGGGGACACAAGACCCTCAAACAGCTAAACCAGGAGCTAAACCAGGAATAAAAAACCAGGATTAAACCAGGACTAACAACGAGGGACACAGTGTGAACATATTCCTCCAGCCTCATCGCCCCGTGACTGTAAACAAGGCTGCTAATGTTGGTTAGCCCACACCACAAATATATTTATTTAGGTAAAAAAAAAACAACTCAATATATATCGTTATCGACCGATATGAATGACTTATATCGTGATATAGTTTTCAGCCATATCGCCCAGCCCTAGTGGTAACATCTCAAAATGGGCGCACATTGACATCACTTGGGTGTAGTGTATTTAGATGTTACTCTGGCTTTGGTCACAGCGTCCAAACGTTTTGGATTCACAGAAATTTAAAGACTGAGTCCGGAAAGAATAGAAAGTATATCTTTGCATGTGGAACCAAACCAGGAAGTCATTTGGGGGAAGTAAATTTATGTAACACTAAGAAAACTTCCGTTGCTCCTTAAGTCACTACTTTCTAATAGCGCCATCTACCAGTCATTTCTTTTGGTTCAGTCTGAGATCCAGATCAGAGAGCAGCGATCTGAAGTCAAACTAGTCAGTAGCGTGTGTTTGTGTGTGTGTGTGTGTGTGTGTGTGTGTGTGTGTGTGTGTGTGTGCGTGTGTGAGCGCCCTCCGGTGGCCGTTGAGATCCCTGCAGTCTGTCTCAGTCCCAACATAAAACCTGCAGAGTGCACCTTCACCTTTTCCCGCTTTTACCGAGTGGTTTTGGAGTTGATCGATTGCGGCTTCAACAGTTTATGTGCAATATATATTTCTATCGTTGGGGACGTTTGAAAACCACACACGAAACACGCAAAACACAACTGACGCTAATGTCGCTAACCACCAACTGGAATCTTCAGCGAGTTCTCCGGCTTCTCGACTATTTCATGTTTAAAAAAATCTCGAATCTCGGTGAATCCTTTCTCCGTGGATTGCTCCGGGCTGTGGCAGAGTTTAGAAAATGCCTTTAGCGATCTTGATTCCCTTCTGCTTCATCCGCGGCAGAGTGGAGCTGGCCACGGCTTTGGCTCGGACCGGACGCATCGAGCCGCGCCGCTTCAGCACAAAGTCGTAGTTGGCCGTGGAGTTCATGGCGTAGAAGACGTTGGCGTTGTCCGGGATCCGCAGCTCTGAGGGACACACACTGATGTTTACGACTTTCACAGACACACACTGACGTTTACGACTTTCACAGACACACACTGATGTTTACGACTTTCACAGACACACACTGATGTTTACGACTTTCACAGACACACACTGATGTTTACGACTTTCACAGACACACACTGATGTTTACGACTTTCACAGACACACACTGACGTTTACGACTTTCACAGACACACACTGATGTTTACAACTTTCACAGACACACACTGACGTTTACGACTTTCACAGACACACACTGACGGTTACGACTTTCACAGACACACACTGACGTTTACGACTTTCACAGACACACACTGACGTTTACGACTTTCACAGACACACACTGACGTTTACGACTTTCACAGACACACACTGACGTTTACAACTTTCACAGACACACACTGACGTTTACGACTTTCACAGACACACACTGACGTTTACGACTTTCACAGACACACACTGACGTTTACGACTTTCACAGACACACACTGACGTTTACGACTTTCACAGACACACACTGATGTTTACGACTTTCACAGACACACACTGATGTTTACGACTTTCACAGACACACACTGATGTTTACGACTTTCACAGACACACACTGATGTTTACAACTTTCACAGACACACACTGACGTTTACGACTTTCACAGACACACACTGACGTTTACGACTTTCACGGACACACACTGACGTTTACAACTTTCACGGACACACACTGACGTTTACAACTTTCACAGACACACACTGACGTTTACGACTTTCACAGACACACACTGACGTTTACGACTTTCACAGACACACACTGACGTTTACGACTTTCACAGACACACACTGATGTTTACAACTTTCACGGACACACACTGACATTTACGACTTTCACAGACACACACTGACGTTTACGACTTTCACAGACACACACTGATGTTTACAACTTTCACAGACACACACTGATGTTTACGACTTTCACAGACACACACTAACGTTTACGACTTTCACAGACACACACTGATGTTTACGACTTTCACAGACACACACTAACGTTTACGACTTTCACAGACACACACTGACGTTTAGGCCTGTCACGATAACAAATTTTGCTGGACGATTAATTGTCTCAGAAATTATTGCGATAAGCGATTATATTGTCGTTCTGAGATAATTTGCATCTATTACAATGATAATGCAGGTACACCTTTTCAAAGAGAAATAAACTTTTATTTTTAACGAATATTTAACGCTAGAACACAATAAATTAACAAACAACCAAAAACAATAAATAAAAGTCTCTTAACAAAAAATGACCAGGAATAAAACTGCCAGGACCTTTGTAAAGAAAATATGAAACAGATGCCTCAAATGTCAATAATTTCTCAGACTTTATGGCAGATTACGAGAAAGAAATACCAACATGTTGACTTTGTGTGGCTTAAGACAGGATCTCTCAGGAGTAGTCCCACCTCCCCACACACCAGGCGAATGACAAGTGACTGACATGTGGGTTCACCAATGGGGCGTACAGAAGTCCTGCTGCGGTAGCGCCCACCGGAAGTGGCGGGGCGGGCTTTGATGCTAACAGCTAAGCTAGCGGGTTTTTTGTGTAAAGTTCTACTCCAAGAATGCAAGTCTGCAGCATTTCTGTGTTCAGAGACCTTCTAGAGACTTTATATAACAGCAGTATGTGTTCACGGAGGTGCGCCATAAGTTTATTTTATTGGTATGGTACGGTACTTCTGCATCGGCGAACACGCTAACGCTAGCTGCGCTAGTATAGTCACTAATCAAGCCTGAATGAGAACTCAGCTGCCGGCATATGTTCACAACTACTGTGTCCCCCATTGTCAATCCTGGTTAAGTCCTGGTTTAGGTCCTGTTTTGGCTGTATTTTGTATTTTTGAGTAATTTCCGTCTGCTTGCTAGACCGCTAATGTTCCCGTGACCACTTTGCGGCTCTCTGACCCGAGAGAGACGGGGGAAACAAACAAGCATGCAAATGGGATTTATCGCGGCCAGAAAAGTTATTGAGCAAATTTTATTTATTGTGCAATTAATTGATTTATTGACTATCGCGACAGGCCTACTGACGTTTACGACTTTCACAGACACACACTGACGTTTACGACTTTCACAGACACACACTGACGTTTACAACTTTCACAGACACACACTGACGTTTACAACTTTCACAGACACACACTGATGTTTACGACTTTCACAGACACACACTGATGTTATTATGGTTAAAATCTGTTCTACACACATAGACAGACACAAACATAGACACACACAGACAGAAACACACACACACACACAGACAGAAACACAAACACACACACACACACACAGACACACACACACCCTTGTCCTCTGAGATCTTCTGCATGAGTTCGTAGTCGTCGCTCTGGTCTCGCTCCAGGTTGTGTTTGATCATGGCTTTGCGGATCACGGCCGGAGTCTTGTCTTGACTCGTCACCTGCAGCACACACACATTTAGTCTTTTCTTCTAACGCTCAAACACACTTCAAACTCTCTGCTGCTAAAGTACGGCCCCAAACCAATCATTTCATTTCCTGCATTACAATTGGTTGAATTACGACCGACCAATCAGAGAGCGCGGAAGGAGAGTATTGTATTTAGTTGTGGGTGACGTCAAGAGTTTGCGTCGAACGGGAACGTTGTAGTTTGGTAATGCCGACAAATGCGATAGTAAAGTATTACAGTCTGGTTCTATCAAGAAACTGAAGCCGGAGCAAGGGTAATGTTTAACAAATGTAATCGCTGGAAAATCTGTGGCCCTACTCCCCACGGGCTCCGTTAGCGGCAAAGGAGATGGCTAGGCTAAATGCTAACGACAGACTCGGGCGCACAACTCAGAACCAATCGTTTCAATCTGATGGAGCAAATCCAGACCTTATTATGAAATGTAATTTGTACTGTGGTGTGGTACGACCAGGCTATCAATTAGGGTCTTTTTGCTGTAACGTAACGATGACATTGAAACTTCCACTGAGGGGCGAACAGGTCATCATGAAAAAGCCAATAAATAAAGTTTACGCCTCTCACCAGAATGCTCTTGTACATGTTCCCGTTCTCCACGTCCAGAGAGACGCGGATGATGCAGCAGTCGTCCACCTGCTGGTTATACAGCGGCAGCGACAGCGTGGAGTAGTTGGACACGGCGGAGACGGAGCGTTTGTGGTGCGAGCGAGAGGAGGACAGCGGCGTGGAGCAGGAGGCGGAGGAGGAGGAGGCGGAGGAGGAGCCAGAGCCAGAGCCCATCCCTGAGGTGTCCAGGGACGACAGGGACGTACACTCCCAGAACTGCAGCAGAGAGAGCGTCAGAGGCAACACATCTAACTTCAGAGGTATTTTATAATTTTATTTATTTGAATTACGACAGTACATATTTATTATTGTGTCTGCAAACAGCGTCAACATAATTAAACTGGAATTAGCACAAAAGCTAAATAGAGTCCACTGTCCTAAGGCAGGTCAGAAACAAACACAGTTAGCTAAAAGTACAAACAATAAGTAAATAACAGAAAACAGATAATGAGGTTTAATTTGACGACAGAAATAAAAACACTACTTTAAGGAATATTATTTTGTATAATTCAGAGACATGTTCTGACAGAGAAGTTACAGGTCCCATATTGTGCTTTTCAACTTTTCCATTTGGCCCAAAGTGGTTTAATCATGATTCCCTCAAGCTTTAGTGAGAGAGTGATCTTTCTATTTCCCCACTTTGCTGAGGCACAGAGCTGCAGAAGCCACCAGGGGGCGCTCAGCTGTGATTGACAGGGATAAAAACAGACACGCCCACAAACGTGAACATGAGACGTAGCTTCTACCACAGTCTGTTCACGTCCATCGAGCTCTGCTGTTCTCGTCACATACTGAAAGTGTTAGCATCATGTGGCTAAAAGTGTTAGCATCATGTGGCTAAAAGTGTTAGCATCATGTGACTAAAAGTGTTAGCATCATGTGACTAAAAGTGTTAGCACCATGTGACTAAAAGTGTTAGCACCATGTGACTAAAAGTGTTAGCATCATGTGACTAAAAGTGTTAGCATCATGTGGCTAAAAGTGTTAGCATCATGTGGCTAAAAGTGTTAGCATCATGTGACTAAAAGTGTTAGCATCATGTGACTAAAAGTGTTAGCACCATGTGACTAAAAGTGTTAGCATCATGTGACTAAAAGTGTTAGCATCATGTGGCTAAAAGTGTTAGCATCATGTGGCTAAAAGTGTTAGCATCATGTGGCTAAAAGTGTTAGCATCATGTGGCTAAAAGTGTTAGCATCATGTGGCTAAAAGTGTTAGCATCATGTGACTAAAAGTGTTAGCATCATGCGACTAAAAGTGTTAGCATCATGTGACTAAAAGTGTTAGCATCATGTGACTAAAAGTGTTAGCACCATGTGACTAAAAGTGTTAGCATCATGTGACTAAAAGTGTTAGCATCATGTGACTTGGAGAAAATGTGTTTTTGGTGTAAATATGTGACTATGACACTATTTTGTCCGAAGTCGAAGAATGAGGTGAATGTATCTGGACTTTATTCACAGGATCTGACTCTGAAATCTGCTACAAATCTGTTCATCTGCGACTTTTCACTAAGACTGTTCCAGAAGCACAGGAACCATCAAACTGGTTTAACTCAAAAACGTATCTGGAAACAGCTTAAAAGACGCTAACGAGCAGCGTATATCTGTAAGTTCAGTGTTACTAACTCTGTATTCTACTGTAACTGAACGATTAGAGCCTTCGATCATTTTTGGTAAAAGTTTATTCTCAGGTTTGAAAGGACTTTACCTTTGTCCCACGCTGTGTTTGCAACAGTCGGCGTGAGCTCAGTGTTTGGTGAATCATCCAAATTATTATGATATAATAATAATAATGAGAGTTGAGGATAGTCTAGGATGGACTGAGAAACATGAAGAAGAGCGAAACATGGGACCTTTAAGACCATAAGTGGTTTGGTCTGGTCTGGTTTAGCCTCGTTCTAATCCACAGTGAGGTGAGGACTGCACATGTGCCAAACACAGACGTAATGATTTATGAGACATTTGTTTATGAAAAGTGTGCAGTGAGGATGTTGTAAATATACCGGAGTGTAGCCATGATTTCTAGACTTCTGTGGAAAAAGGCCCTGATGCACAAGTAGCAGTGAAGAGTTGAAAATTGGGCTGTGCTGAAAATAGAAAGATTGAGATCTCAACTTTGCTCAATCTCAAATGTGCATCAAATCATGCGACATCAATCGTGGGACAGTGTTCCTCTGAATACTATGTTTAAGTAACGTGTTTGTTCTGTGAGTAATACAACTCTAAATGGATCAATTTAAGTCATGTGTTAAAGAAGAGCATCACTAATTTAACAAACTCCAAACTGGTTCTTGACTTAACAGAAATTAGAACAGGGAGCTTCTGGTATCCAGCAAAAAGATGGTGCTCATGGAAGGAGGCAGTAGAACATGCAGAGAAAAATCAGGTCCAGGCACTCATCATTTGCAAAAGTAGATGGCTTTATTTATGGGCCAGAAACATTAAAAAGGTGTGCTTTTTAATGTTTCTGGCCCATAAATAAAGCCATCTACTTTTGCAAATGATGAGTGCCTGGACCTGATTTTTCTCGACTTATTGAGTTAAATAATCATGAACAACATGTGTGAGTGTGATGTTACCGTGGAGGTGGTGTCAGCGGCGGGAGCGTCTCTGCCCAGAACAGACACCGAGAGTTTCACTGACGGAGTCGACGTCTGACGGAAAGAAAAGGTTTAAGGTTTAATGTGAGCTGTAGTTTAAACGGTTCAATTGTTGTTCAGAGAAAGGTTTTGTCAGATTGACTTTTTCACAAGCGCTTCCTTTGCCTGGTTCATGCCAGACAGATCCACCCATCCATTTTCTTCAACTTTATCCATTGCCGGGTCACGGGGGCAGCAGTCTGAGCAGAGACACACACTGCCCTTTCCACACACACTTCTGCAGCTCATCTGAGGTAATCCTGAGGCGTTCCCAGCTGAGACAGTCCCTCAGGCTCAGCTCCCTCTTCACCACAACCACACATCACTGCACCGATCCATCTGTCAATCATTCACTCCATCCCTCCCTCACTGTGACCCTGACCCTGAGATACTTCAACTCCTCCACTTGAGGAAGGCCCTCTCCACCTGGAGAGGACCAGGACCTCAAACCAGATGCCCACACACCCCCGACCCCAGGCCTGGATCAAGGCAGGGGCCCAGCTGCACCGGACTAGGCATCAGTTTGTTTAGAGGCCACGCCTGAGCCTTTGTGATCCCCTTTTGCCGTGTGTGTTTCAGTGTGTGTGCGTGTATGTTTCAATGTGTCTATGTGTGTGTTTCAGTGTGTGTGCGTGTATGTTTCAATGTGTCTATGTGTGTGTTGCAGTGTCACCTTGCGTTCATGTCCCTCTGGAGAGTCTGATAAGAAGCTGGGGTTGACGTCCTCGAGGTCGGAGCCGCTGGAGCTGACGGAGGTGACACTGAGGGCGTCGCCGCTGTCTCCTCCGCTCTGATACGGTCGATACTGAGCCTGATCGAACGACTTGGAATGTGACGAGGAGCCGCTGCAGCCGGCTTCTGTCAGCTGCCGACTGGAAACACAACTGTGTCACTGCACACCAGCACTGAGTCACTACACAACAGCACTGTGTCACTACACACCAGCACTGAGTCACTACACAACAGCACTGTGTCACTACACACCAGCACTGAGTCACTACACACCAGCACTGAGTCACTACACACCAGCACTGAGTCACTACACAACAGCACTGAGTCACTACACACCAGCACTGAGTCACTACACAACAGCACTGTGTCACTACACACCAGCACTGTGTCACTACACACCAGCACTGAGTCACTACACACCAGCACTGAGTCACTACACACCAGCACTGAGTCACTACACACCAGCACTGAGTCACTACACACCAGCACTGAGTCACTACACAACAGCACTGAGTCACTACACACCAGCACTGAGTCACTACACAACAGCACTGAGTCACTACACACCAGCACTGAGTCACTACACAACAGCACTGAGTCACTACACACCAGCACTGAGTCACTACACAACAGCACTGAGTCACTACACACCAGCACTGAGTCACTACACACCAGCACTGAGTCACTACACACCAGCACTGAGTCACTACACAACAGCACTGAGTCACTACACAACAGCACTGAGTCACTACACACCAGCACTGAGTCACTACACACCAGCACTGAGTCACTACACAACAGCACTGAGTCACTACACAACAGCACTGAGTCACTACACAACAGCACTGAGTCACTACACAACAGCACTGAGTCACTACACAACAGCACTGAGTCACTACACAACAGCACTGAGTCACTACACACCAGCACTGAGTCACTACACACCAGCACTGAGTCACTACACAACAGCACTGAGTCACTACACAACAGCACTGAGTCACTACACAACAGCACTGAGTCACTACACAACAGCACTGAGTCACTACACAACAGCACTGAGTCACTACACAACAGCACTGTGTCACTACACAACAGCACTGAGTCACTACACAACAGCACTGAGTTATGGAAGCTAACGGTGAACATGAAAACCTGCGGCTTGTATCCAAGTGCAGTCTTTATGAACAACATTGGTTTCATTTCCAAAGTAGGAGGCACAGCTTATTTACAGGTGCGTCTGCTCGTCCAGAAAGTGCTTTTCTCTCTGTACTGAACTCAAAAGTAAACAAGCCGACACTTCGCAGTGATGTGTAGGAAACTCACTCGCTCCAGCGCTTCATGATGCCTCCGTTTTTTTTGGCTCGGAGCGTGTTACTGGCAGATTCTGACAAAGGCTCGATCTCACAGGACAAGTTATAACTGCAACACAAAACAGAACAAAAACAATCTAGACATCACTTCATACACACAGCAGCTCTGAGAGACATGTTTCCTAGAAGTCAAGGGCGATATTGAAACTGTCATTGTAGAAACGACCTGGACATAAGACGTCTTACTTTTCTTCTAGGACCTTTTCGCTCTCTCTCCGATAGCCCCAGTTCTCTCTCTCCGATAGCCCCAGTTCTCTCTCTCTGGTAGCCCCAGTTCTCTCTCTCTGGTAGCCCCAGCTCTCTCTCTCCGATAGCCCCAGCTCTCTCTCTCCGATAGCCCCAGCTCTCTCTCTCCGATAGCCCCAGTTCTCTCTCTCTAGTAGCCCCAGCTCTCTCTCCGGTAGCCCCAGCTCTCTCTCTCCGGTAGCCCCAGCTCTCTCTCCGGTAGCCCCAGCTCTCTCTCCGGTAGCCCCAGCTCTCTCTCCTGTAGCCCCAGCTCTCTCTCCGGTAGCCCCAGCTCTCTCTCCGGTAGCCCCAGCTCTCTCTCCGGTAGCCCCAGCTCTCTCTCCGGTAGCCCCAGCTCTCTCTCCGGTAGACCCAGCTCTGTCTGCGGTAGCCCCAGCTCTCTCTCTCTGGTAGCCCCAGCTCTCTCTCTCTGGTAGCCCCAGCTCTCTCTCTGGTAGCCCCAGCTCTCTCTGCTGTAGCCCCAGCTCTCTCTATGGAGACCATATATATTCCTTGCGATAGTTGTGCGTGGTCTAGTGGGCTAGTGTCTTCTATGCACCATTAAAGGTGACGTATGGTGACAGCAGAATTGTGGGGAAGTTTATGTTGTTGTCTTTATTGTTTGTTTGTGTTTCTGACGTCAGATTCCCTTTGTGTTCATAGAACCACACCCTGTCATCAGACTTAGTGAAACTCAGCGACAAAGACTTCTCGGCTGTTCTAGGACACCCTGCAGCAGGACAATACGGACGGCACCCGCTACTGTGACTATACTGTATGTACCTGTGTGTCTCTGTGTACCTGTGTGTCTTTACTGTATGTACCTGTGCGTCTCTGTGACTATATGTACCTGTGTCTCTGTGTCTGTATGTACCTGTGTCTCTCTGTGACTATATGTACCTGTGTCTCTGTGTCTGTATGTACCTGTGTCTCTGTGTCTATATGTACCTGTGTCTCTGTGTCTATATGTACCTGTGTCTCTGTGTCTATATGTACCTGTGTCTCTGTGTCTGTATGCACCTGTGTCTCTGTGTCTGTATGCACCTGTGTCTCTGTGTCTGTATGTACCTGTGCTCATCCCCACTTGTCTTTGTCTATACATATATATTATAGGGCTGTCAAAATTATCGCGTTAACGCACGTTAATTCATTTTTGTCATTAATCGCGTAAAAAAAATTAACGCATTTGACGCATGCCCATGCGTCCCATGATAACACTCAGAATGCGGCGGACACATGCGTGTGTGTAAGATGGGGACAGAGCAGGTCTCTGGGAATTCAAGTTTTGAAAGAACACACGCGTGACCGCGGGGCACTTGTTGTTTCCTGTATGAACTCTGCATGATGAGCTGCGGGCGCCACAGCGCTCTGGACAGCAGGTCCCACTTCCAGCGGCTGTGATCACGGCGTACGTGTCTTTGTGTAACAGATGCACACAATGTGTACAGCGCTGAAGCTGGACTGCGGAGCCTCAGTCTCCTCCGTGTCTTCTCCCGAAGCGCACTCGCTAAATTAAAGCTGAGATACCTAAATTTCCTTTCGACTACCAGTTCATGTTAGTTGTGCCAAAAAAAGTAATGTTGTGAGCAAATCAAACAGATTTAATGACATTCTGCATTTCAGACTATTTTGAAATGTCCCTCATCTGTAACAAACAATGGTTTGGTCTGAGTCTAAACAGAAAGACAGAATGTTAATAATGTTAATGCCATTTTATATGGATTTATTGTTATAACAAACAAATACTGTTGTTCACTAAGCTGTCATTTATCTTTCCATTCAAACAACAATTTACAGAAAAATATGGCATAATTTTGCCAATACTTTGAAATGCGATTAATTACGATTAATTAATTTTTAAGCTGTAATTAACTAGATTAAAAAAATTAATCGTTTGACAGCCCTAATATATTAGTATGTAAATGTCTCCACGGTGAGATCAAAGTCTCTCTTATCTTATGTTCCTGGTTTGTTTTCATTTTGAGTTTGTTTTTACCTTGGACTTTTATCTCATCATCCTCATTAACAATTACTTAATCATTTACAGAGACATTTCCCGTTCTCCAGGCAGTGTAGAGTTTAAAGGTGTTACCTCTCGGCCTCCGTTAGCTTCTCCACGCCGCTGAACCACTCTCTGAAGTGACCGTCCTGAGTGAAGCTGTAGTTGTTGGAGGCGAGCTGCAGCAGTTTGATCTGAGCGATGACCTCGAACTCCTGACCACAAAACAACATGTCACAACAACGTCACAACAACGTCACAACAACATGTCACAGCAACGTCACAACAACGTCACAGCAACGTCACAACAACGTCACAACAACGTCACAACAACGTCACAGCAACGTCACAACAACGTCACAGCAACGTCACAGCAACGTCACAGCAACGTCACAACAACGTCACAGCAACGTCACAGCAACGTCACAACAACGTCACAGCAACGTCACAACAACGTCACAGCAACGTCACAACAACGTCACAACAACGTCACAGCAACGTCACAGCAACGTCACAACAACGTCACAGCAACGTCACAGCAACGTCACAGCAACGTCACAGCAACGTCACTGCAACGTCACTGCAACGTCACAGCAACGTCACAACAACGTCACAACAACGTCACAACAACGTCACAACGTCACAGCAACGTCACAGCAACGTCACAGCAACGTCACAACAACGTCACAACAACGTCACAACCACGTCACAGCAACGTCACAACAACGTCACAACAACGTCACAACAACGTCACAGCAACGTCACAGCAACGTAACAGCAACGTCACAACAACGTCACAGCAACGTCACAACAACGTCACAACAACGTCACAGCAACGTCACAACAACGTCACAGCAACGTCACAACAACGTCACAACAACGTCACAGCAACGTCACAGCAACGTCACAGCAACGTCACAACAACGTCACTGCAACGTCACAACAACGTCACAGCAACGTCACAGCAACGTCACAACAACGTCACAGCAACGTCACAGCAACGTCACAACAACGTCACAACAACGTCACAGCAACGTCACAGCAACGTCACAACAACGTCACAACAACGTCACAACAACGTCACAACAACGTCACAACAACGTCACAACCACGTCACAACCACGTCACAACAACGTCACAGCAACGTCACAACAACGTCACAACCACGTCACAACCACGTCACAACAACGTCACAGCAACGTCACAACAAAGTCGCGTTGCGGGCGATAAAACGATAACAATATATATCGCGATAGACTTGTGTTCGATATAAATTTAAAAAACGAGGTTGATAGAATGTTCTATATTTTATGGAAGCCCGTTTCCGGCATGTAAAAAAAATTATGAGTTTAAAAGTCAAAATTACGATAACAATATAACTCATAATTTTGACTTTAAAACTCATAATTAGTGTCGCCCCATAAAACTGGGGCGACAGTAGCTCAGTTGGTAGAGCATTGGCCTTCAGGCCTGAAGGTTGTGGGTTCAATTCCCACCTTCTCCCACCTTCTCCACCGACTCCCACTGATGACTGCTGTCGTTGTGTCCTTGGGCAAGACACTTAACCCCACTTTGCCCAAAGCCCCCACTGAAAGATCAAGGCTATGCTCACACTCAGAGCAGCCGTCCTCCTGTGGACTCACCACCTGCAGAGGGTCAGTGAGGGGCTGGTGCTATGAGACTTGGGTGGTATCTCTGACTGCCACCCCCCTGACCCAGAAATGGATTAAAGGGTAGAAAATGGATGGATGGATGGATGGAACTCATAATTACGACTTTAAAACTCATAATTTCGACTTTAAAACTCATAATTTCGAGTTTAAAACTGAAAATTATGACTTTCTGTAGGCATTTTTTTTTTACATGGCGGAAATGGGCTTTCATAATATTTTAACTTCACTCAGTTAGAAAAAAACATGGATCATGGATCTATTATAAAGCCATGGATCTATTATAAAGCCATGGATCTAAAGCTGGTGTTTCAGGCCGTGTCAATGGTTAAACACGTCTGTGTGAGGAACAGCATGTGCGGCGGGAGGCAGTGGATACAGAGACTCCATGCATTCGGCAAAAGCACGAGATTCACTTTTTCCACCGTGCGGCTATCAGAGAGCTATCAGAGAGCTATCAGAGAGAGAGACACAACAGCTCGAAAACAGCCAAAACAGGACTAAACCAGTACTGACAATGGGGGACACAGTGCGAACATTTGGCTCCAGCCTCATTCCCCCGTGACTGTAAACAAGGGCTGCTAAAAAAATTAATCGATTAGCTACAACCCTAACCCAGCACGGTGGCTGAGTGGTTAGCAAGAAGGTCCTGGGTTCAAATCCCGGTCGGAACGGGGCCTTTCTGAGTGGAGTTTGCATGTTCTCCCCGTGTCTGCGTAGGTTTCCTCCGGGTGCTCCGGTTTCCCCTACCACTAAAAACATGTATAATAGGCCTGACATGCGCCCCCTGTAGGCTCCAGCTCCCATCTCTGTGTGGAGTCAGAGACTAATGCCCACAATTGTAAACCGCTTTGACTCCAGTCTGTGAAAGGCGCTATATAAATAAACATTACTTACTTACATCTCATTATGCTAAAACTAGAGGTTTTATTCTTGTTTCTTTATTATGCTAAAGTTAGATTTTAGTACAGAGTTATTGTTCCTTTATCTTGTGTTGTGTGCTCCTCATTCCTATTGTTGTGTAACTGGTGATAGCAACACTGACATTTCCCCACTGTGGGACACTCAAAGGATATCTTCTTCTTAATATTAGTGTAAAGAACATGAAAGCAGGGCGTGCAGAGGTGAATGAGCCTCAGTCGCTAAAAGAAGCTCCTTCACCAGTCAGGAGGAGGGGCCTGAGGCAGAGAACAGTCTGTCCTGGGACACACACACACACACAGAGCAGTGTGTGTGTGTGTGTGTGTGTGTGTTTTGTTGTGAAAATTACTCTTTTAATGCTATGAAAGAAGCTCAGTCTCTTTCTCAGATTTAATACCTCCTGCATTTGAAATAGGATTTCACAAATAAATAAAACTTTTTCCACAGAAAAATGAAACCATAAGTTACATCACAATGAGATGTTTGTGTGATCGCTTCTGTGCAGGAGCTTAGACAGACTGTTGTTGTGAGTCGCTCATGTCTAAAGTTTATCTATTTCTGAATACGCACCTTTCTCCTCTTTTCAAAGTTGATGAGTCCATTCTGAAAGAAATAAAACTCAGTTAATCTCTCTCCTGTAACTCTCTTTACTCCCATCTCCTCGGTCTGACCTCGGTGTAGTCTTTCATGGCCGTGTCCATCATGACGAGGTCGGTCAAGAACGTGCCCAGGTATGGGATGGTTCCCTGCATCACCCCCTGCAGAGAAAGACACATGGTCATACCGCTACTCTCCACCAGGGGGCGCAAGAGGCTGTCTCACCAGGTCTCGCTGCTGCTGGTGCCTCCTCTGAGCGCGTTTGGGGTTGATTTCCAAAGTGGCAAATTTAGACGTTCCCTCCTAAAAAACATGAATACAAGAATGTATTTACTATTTGCAGTAAAACCACATTGGAAAAACTGTGCAAGACTACAGTGTGCACCAGACGGCACACACCAGAGCTCGTGCCACGGCGCCATCTTTACAGCACCATGCGAACACAAAATAAAAACATTGTTAATGTGTTTGCATTGTCTTTAAATAAATTATTATTTCAATAAACACAAGTAATTAGGATGATATTTGAACTATTATTTTATATATTCATATTCATCAATTTGCCCTGAACAGCACTTAATCACATTATTATTTTTAAATTAGTTTAGTGGACAGGGACATTGTGCATTAATAAACATTTATGTATTTGCACCAGAATTATCCAAACAGGTTATTTTCCATCTGCAGTCCCGGGACAGATTTACATCGTCTCCCTAAAGATAATAACAGTAAAAGTCATGCAATAAATCTGTTTCTTCTCAGTTACGCATGAAAAGTCTTACATTGAAGAGTTTTTTGGGGGAATAAAGCTAAAATAACAAAGAGGGAGGATTCTAACGCCAGAGCAGATGTTTTTCCTCCACAGACGACACAAAGACAGTGATAAATGCTTTTACGCTGGTGGAAAGTGTTGGCGATGAGGAAACCTATGATGCAACCGTGGAAGAGTCTTATCAGGGTCAGACACGCTGCAAACGCCCACATCCCGTATCTCTGCTTCAGGGCTCTCCCCAAACTCAGAGAAACCCCCAAAACTACATCTGATAAACTCCAGGCACTTTCCATTCACTGACGTCAGATGGAGATTCACCAGCGCAGAAAGGAAAACACTTCTTACTGCAGGAAGGTACGCAGCCAGCAGGGGGCGGTGTTGGGATCATCTGTGTTTTTGTGTTTGAGCAGATGGAAGTCCTGGTTCAAAGATTCCAGTGAAAACTATACATTGGTCCCTGGTTTATCAATCAATCCATTTTATTTATAGAATTCTTTAACACTCAAGGCGACCAAAGTGCTTTACAATAAAATCATATAAAATCCATTAAAAATTTCAGTTTAAAAGCATTCAAAAAGTGCCACCTGCTAATGAGTGTTAAAAGTGTTAAAAGCCAGTCTGAATAAAAAGGCCTTTATCAGTGAGAACAGGCATGTCAGGGGCAGCTTTTTATTTATTTATTGTCATTTTTTAATCATGTTTTTTTCTTTTTAACTCTCTCCTATGTTTGTATGATTGCGACCAATGCACAATTTCCTTTGAAATCAATAAAGTATCTATCTATCTATCTATCCATCCGTCTATCTATCCATCTGTCGACCTGTCCATCCGTTTATCTGGCTTGTTCCAGAGTCTGGGTCCAGGACTGAGAAGGACCGGTCTCCCCAGGTTTATCACAGGGTTAAGTTCTAAAAATAAAATGCAATTAGCAAAATCCTCTCAGGACTGAGGCTACAGGACTGAGGCGACAGGACTGAGGCAACAGGACTGAGGCTACAGGACTGAGGCTACAGGACTGAGGCTACAGGACTGAGGCTACAGGACTGAGGCAACAGGACTGAGGCTACAGGACTGAGGCTACAGGACTGAGGCTACAGGACTGAGGCTACAGGACTGAGGCTACAGGACTGAGGCTACAGGACTGAGGCGACAGGACTGATGAGGCGACAGGACTGAAGCTACAGGACTGATGAGGCGACAGGACTGAGGCGACAGGACTGAGGCGACAGGACTGAGGCGACAGGACTGAGGCGACAGGACTGAAGCTACAGAACTGAGGCGACAGGACTGAGGCGACAGGACTGAGGCGACAGGACTGAGGCTACAGGACTGAGGCTACAGGACTGAGGCGACAGGACTGAGGCTACAGGACTGAAGCTACAGGACTGAGGCGACAGGACTGAGGCGACAGGACTGAGGCGACAGGACTGAGGCTACAGGACTGAGGCTACAGGACTGAGGCTACAGGACTGAGGCTACAGGACTGAGGCTACAGGACTGAGGCTACAGGACTGAGGCTACAGGACTGAGGCTACAGGACTGAGGCGACAGGACTGATGAGGCGACAGGACTGAAGCTACAGGACTGATGAGGCGACAGGACTGAGGCGACAGGACTGAGGCGACAGGACTGAGGCGACAGGACTGAGGCGACAGGACTGAAGCTACAGAACTGAGGCGACAGGACTGAGGCGACAGGACTGAGGCGACAGGACTGAGGCTACAGGACTGAGGCTACAGGACTGAGGCGACAGGACTGAGGCTACAGGACTGAAGCTACAGGACTGAGGCGACAGGACTGAGGCGACAGGACTGAGGCGACAGGACTGAGGCTACAGGACTGAGGCTACAGGACTGAGGCGACAGGACTGAGGCTACAGGACTGAGGCAACAGGACTGAGGCGACAGGACTGAGGCTACTGGACTGAAGCGACAGGACTGAGGCGACAGGACTGAGGCGACAGGACTGAGGCGACAGGACTGAGGCTACAGGACTGAGGCTACAGGACTGAGGCTACAGGACTGAGGCGACAGGACTGAGGCGACAGGACTGAGGCGACAGGACTGAGGCAACAGGACTGAGGCTACAGGACTGAGGCTACAGGACTGAGGCAACAGGACTGAGGCTACAGGACTGAGGCTACAGGACTGAGGCTACAGGACTGAGGCTACAGGACTGAAGCTACAGGACTGAGGCGACAGGACTGAGGCGACAGGACTGAGGCTACAGGACTGAGGCTACAGGACTGAGGCGACAGGACTGAGGCTACAGGACTGAGGCGACAGGACTGAGGCGACAGGACTGAGGCTACTGGACTGAAGCGACAGGACTGAGGCGACAGGACTGAGGCGACAGGACTGAGGCTAGAGGACTGAGGCTACAGGACTGAAGCTACAGGACTGAAGCTACAGGACTGAGGCTACAGGACTGAGGCTACAGGACTGAGGCGACAGGACTGAGGCGACAGGACTGAGGCGACAGGACTGAGGCGACAGGACTGAAGCGACAGGACTGAGGCTACAGGACTGAGGCTACAGGACTGAGGCTACAGGACTGAGGCTACAGGACTGAGGCTACAGGACTGAGGCTACAGGACTGAGGCTACAGGACTGAAGCTACAGGACTGAGGCGACAGGACTGAGGCGACAGGACTGAGGCGACAGGACTGAGGCTACAGGACTGAGGCTACAGGACTGAGGCTACAGGACTGAGGCGACAGGACTGAGGCTACAGGACTGAGGCGACAGGACTGAGGCGACAGGACTGAGGCTACTGGACTGAAGCTACAGGACTGAGGCGACAGGACTGAGGCGACAGGACTGAGGCTACAGGACTGAGGCTACAGGACTGAAGCTACAGGACTGAAGCTACAGGACTGAGGCTACAGGACTGAGGCTACAGGACTGAGGCGACAGGACTGAGGCGACAGGACTGAGGCGACAGGACTGAGGCGACAGGACTGAGGCGACAGGACTGAAGCTACAGGACTGAGGCTACAGGACTGAGGCTACAGGACTGAGGCTACAGGACTGAGGCGACAGGACTGAGGCTACAGGACTGAGGCTACAGGACTGAGGCTACAGGACTGAGGCGACAGGACTGAGGCGACAGGACTGAGGCTACAGGACTGAGGCGACAGGACTGAAGCTACAGGACTGAGGCTACAGGACTGAGGCGAGAGGACTGAGGCTACAGGACTGAGGCTACAGGACTGAGGCGACAGGACTGAGGCGACAGGACTGAGGCTACAGGACTGAGGCTACAGGACTGAGGCGACAGGACTGAGGCGACAGGACTGAGGCTACAGGACTGAGGCTACAGGACTGAGGCGACAGGACTGAGGCGACAGGACTGAGGCGACAGGACTGAGGCGACAGGACTGAGGCGACAGGACTGAGGCGACAGGATTGAGGCTACAGGACTGAGGCTACAGGACTGAGGCTACAGGACTGAGGCGACAGGACTGAGGCTACAGGACTGAGGCTACAGGACTGAAGCTACAGGACTGAGGCGACAGGACTGAGGCGACAGGACTGAGGCTACAGGACTGAGGCTACAGGACTGAGGCGACAGGACTGAGGCTACAGGACTGAGGCTACAGGACTGAGGCTACAGGACTGAGGCGACAGGACTGAGGCGACAGGACTGAGGCGACAGGACTGAGGCGACAGGACTGAGGCGACAGGACTGAGGCGACAGGATTGAGGCTACAGGACTGAGGCTACAGGACTGAGGCTACAGGACTGAGGTACAGGACTGAGGCTACAGGACTGAGGCTACAGAACTGAGGGCTACAGGACTGAGGCTACAGGACTGAAGCTACAGGACTGAGGTGACAGGACTGAGGCGACAGGACTGAGGCGACAGGACTGAGGCGACAGGACTGAGGCGACAGGACTGAGGCGACAGGACTGAGGCGACAGGACTGAGGCGACAGGACTGAGGCGACAGGACTGAGGCTACAGGACTGAGGCTACAGGACTGAGGCTACAGGACTGAGGTGACAGGACTGAGGCGACAGGACTGAGGCGACAGGACTGAGGCGACAGGACTGAGGCGACAGGACTGAGGCGACAGGACTGAGGCGACAGGACTGAGGCGACAGGACTGAGGCGACAGGACTGAGGCTACAGGACTGAGGCTACAGGACTGAGGCTACAGGACTGAGGCTACAGGACTGAGGCGACAGGACTGAGGCTACAGGACTGAGGCTACAGGACTGAGGCTACAGGACTGAGGCTACAGGACTGAAGCTACAGGACTGAGGCGACAGGACTGAAGCTACAGGACTGAGGCTACAGGACTGAGGCGACAGGACTGAAGCTACAGAACTGAGGTGACAGGACTGAGGCGACAGGACTGAGGCGACAGGACTGAGGCGACAGGACTGAGGCTACAGGACTGAGGCGACAGGACTGAGGCTACAGGACTGAGGCTACAGGACTGAGGCTACAGGACTGAAGCTACAGGACTGAGGCTACAGGACTGAGGCTACAGGACTGAGGCGACAGGACTGAGGCTACAGGACTGAGGCTACAGGACTGAGGCTACAGGACTGAAGCTACAGGACTGAGGCGACAGGACTGAAGCTACAGGACTGAGGCTACAGGACTGAGGCGACAGGACTGAAGCTACAGGACTGAGGTGACAGGACTGAGGCGACAGGACTGAGGCGACAGGACTGAGGCTACAGGACTGAGGCGACAGGACTGAAGCTACAGGACTGAGGCGACAGGACTGAGGCGACAGGACTGAGGTGACAGGACTGAAGCTACAGGACTGAGGTGACAGGACTGAGGCGACAGGACTGAGGCGACAGGACTGAGGCGACAGGACTGAGGCGACAGGACTGAGGCGACAGGACTGAGGCTACAGGACTGAGGCTACAGGACTGAGGCTACAGGACTGAGGCTACAGGACTGAGGCTACAGGACTGAAGCTACAGGACTGAGGTGACAGGACTCAGGCTACAGGACTGAGGTGACAGGACTCAGGCTACAGGACTGAGGCGACAGGACTGAGGCGACAGGACTGAGGCGACAGGACTGAGGTGACAGGACTGAAGCTACAGGACTGAGGTGACAGGACTCAGGCTACAGGACTGAGGTGACAGGACTGAGGCGACAGGAAGACCGCGGGAGTCCTCTGAACTAAACACCACAGTGCACACAAGCCACTAACATTTTCTCTGACTTTATATTAAGTGTCATGCTACACTAGCGGCTGTATGATGTTGGAGTCTACACGCGACCCATGAGGAGCACTTTGTCTGTGCTTCTCCTGCTCCACTCTCTGGACTCCTCCTAGTCCCTGGCCTCTCAGTACTGGACACAGCTGCCTCAGGAGTCCCACCATCCATGACTCAGTAGGACTCCTTCACCCTGACTGTACGCCTTACTACCAGAGTCCGCCTCCGGGTTCTGGTGCCGCCGGGACCAGCACCAGAGACCTGCGACACCAATTAAAACCTGCTGACTCAATATCCTCCTCCTCTGGGAACTCTCTTTCTTAAAACAACGACATTCAGGAGGCATTCTAGTTTTATGGGGATAGTATAGGTTTGGCCACAAGAGGGCAGAGTGGAGGCTCCTCTATATGAAAGCACAGGTCACACGTGTGTACCACCATCACAGAGTTAGCCTTCATTATGTTAGCTCCATATTCTACCCATCCATCTATCCACCTCCTTCACACGAGATCCTTTGGGCCACATTATCATTGAATGCAGCAAATATATCGGCTCACATTGTATTGGAGTTGGAAGTGTGTTATTCCATTGAAAAATATTAATTTAAAAGTAACAAATCAAGACCAAAACAAGCAATTTACAGAATATGTCTAAAGGGGCGTTCACACCGGACATAACTTCGGCGTCAAAAGCGTCAAGTTTCCATTGAAAGTGAATGGTGAAGCGCGTCAGGTGAAGCCGAGGGGCCCGGCGTCACTTGACGCGCGTCAAAAGCTTCAAGAGTCGCGCGTACTACGCGCTCACTTGAAGCTTTTGACGCGCGAAACGCTCGCGTATCACAACAATCCCTTTGACGCCGAAGTTGAGCAAAGCTGAGCTTTTGAAGCTTTGACGCGGCTTTCAACCAATCAGGAGACGAGGAGCAGCAGCAGCAGAGGGTCTGTCTCTGTCATGAAGAGAAGTCTTGTATGAGTAGTAACGTTCTGAGTAACAAAAATCATTGTACACATGCTGTGTAGTAAACGTAGTTTATTTAATATAAGAACAGGCTGACGATGAGTCTGGCTCAGAGCAAGGCAGCTCCGGGCGGGCGAGAGCCGGGGAGAGGCAGGGGAGAGGGGAGCGAGAGCCGGGGAGAGGCAGGGGGAGGCAGGGAGAGGCGAGCGAGAGCCGGGGAGAGGCAGGGAGAGGCGAGAGCGAGGCGGGGAGAGGCGAGCTCCGGGATTTGAGAACTCAGACTGGGCAAGTGACATGCGGAAGTGCCGCTGAAAGCGAAACTCCTCCGTACGCAGCTCCTGGAGTAAATGACGGAACTCTGCAAACACTGCAGCCTCTCAAGTCTGTGGTGAACCCAGAACATGTTTTGTTGAAGCCCTACAACAACGTTATTTTGCTTTATATAACAAATAAAGGCTCGCTGCTCATTGAAAAATCCACCGCTGTCCTGACTACAGGCAACAGAGAAGCTCCTCCCACAGACAACAGAGAAGCTCCTCCCACCGGCGTCAGGCGCGTCACTCGCGTCAAAAGCTTCAAGCACCAAAATGACAAAACTATCCCGGCGTCAGTTGAAGCGCGTCAAAAGCTTTTTGAAGCTTTTGGTCTGAACGCGCCTTAAGTCTCTCTGCAAAGGACTTGAATAACTGATGCCGGCGAGTAATTTAAATGTCCAGTGTCTGTTCTTGATTATTTGAGCCTGACTCGTACCTTTACCAGCAGCTCTCGACTGAGGGAGTAGTTATTGTCGTCAGAGAAGATTTCCGACAGCTCCCGGAACATTCGGAAACTCTCCCTGTGGATGGAAGAGAACGATCAGCAATAAAACCGGGAACACATGGTTTAAACGATGGTTAAACAATGGGTACGCAGGTCTTTGAACGCACCGTGAGACCTCCTCCCACGTCCTCTTGAGGCGGTGGATGGAGTTGCACTGAAGCGCTGATAAAATGGCTCGTAACGAGGAGAAGTTTTTCAAAATCCGACACTCCTGAACACATCATAAAATAAGTAAGTTAAAGGTGACGATGGTAAAGTGTCAACTGCATCAAGGCCGAGAGAGGACCAGAGAGAGGACCAGCGAGAGACCAGACAGAGGACCAGAGAGAGGACCAGCGAGAGGACCAGAAAGAGGACCAGAGAGAGGACAAGACAGAGGACCAGCGAGAGGACCAGAAAGAGGACCAGAGAGAGGACCAGACAGAGGACCAGAGAGAGGACCAGAGAGAGGACCAGAAAGAGGACCAGAGAGAGGACCAGACAGAGGACCAGCGAGAGGACCAGAAAGAGGACCAGAGAGAGGACCAGAAAGAGGACCAGAGAGAGGACCAGAGAGAGGACCAGCGAGAGGACCAGACAGAGGACCAGACAGAGGACCAGAGAGAGGACCAGAGAGAGGACCAGAGAGAGGACCAGAGAGAGACCAGAGAGAGGACCAGAGAGAGACCAGAGAGAGGACCAGACAGAGGACCAGACAGAGGACCAGAGAGAGGACCAGAGAGAGGACCAGACAGAGGTCATGTGATTCGTACCTGTGCTACATCGACACAAAGGTCATGTGACTCGTACCCATGCTACATCGACACAGAGGTCATGTGACTCGTACCCATGCTACATCGACACAGAGGTCATGTGACTCGTACCCGTGCTACATCGACACAGAGGTCATGTGACTCGTACCCATGCTACATCAACACAGAGGTCATGTGACTCGTACCCGTGCTACGTCGACCCAGCGCTCCAGCATGCGTGCCCGCTGCGTGTGCTTGAGGCTGGGGTTGCTGAGGCAGGTGGTGATGACGCAGTTGGTGACGGAGTTGAACTGAGCGACCGTGGCGCGGATCGTCGGCGCCAAATGTTCTTTTCCCTTTTTGTCCCTTTGAGACCAGATCCCGCCGAGGCAGTGGTACGGTACCACCTTCTTAAACAGGTCCTGCAGGAGAGGGAGGACAAGAGCTCAGTTAGTCACAGGATTTCAGTTTAAAAGATAGATTTACACAGATAAAGTATGTTGGACTTTACAGGAAGTAGAAAGAACTAAAGTTTGGCACAACTTAAAGTACATTTGGATGATTCAGTCCACTCCAAAAACATGAAAGCTAAATTCCTCAACTGTCCTGGTGCTGACCCACTTTCTGCTCAGGTTCATTAAATGTTGTCCTTTATCCTTTGCCGAGTTGCAGAGGCAGAAGTCTGAGCAGAGACAGACCTCCCTCTTCACTCTCACTTACTCCAGCTCATCTGGGGGAATCCTGAGGCGTTCCCAGACCAGACCTGGACAGGCCCAGAACACCTCCCACAGAGGAGACCAGGAGGTGTCCCAAACAGATGTCTGACCCACCTCAGCTGGTGTTGTGTACCTGAGCTCCTCACTCACCGCGTCCATGAGGGTGAACTGCTCGGCCACCATGATGGGGTCGAAGGAGAGGAAGCTGAAGGCCGGGAGCTCGTCCTCAAACCCACTCTCCTCCTGCGTCGCAAACGGACACCCGATGTGTTCCCCTGCAACACACCAACACACACTCAACACGGGACGGGACACACTGGACCCCAAGGACTGAGTGGGTCTGCCAACATCACAGCCAGCGCTCTTACGTGTTCGGGGGAGGAGAATAAATAGAGAAAACAATCAAATCAAATCAGTTTCTGGTCTAGAAAAAAACATTGGGCCTCATTCACGAATAACTTCGTAAGAAACTACTTTCTTCTCAAGTTGTCCTTAAGTATATTTCTAAGAAGTCCTCACGTGGGATTCATCAACGCACTCGTAAGCCGCTGAATTGTTCGCAGCTGTTCTCTCAGATTGATGAATCCCATTTCCTCGTAAATACAGCGCGCGTGCCAGGTGCTTCATTAGCATAGGTACTTAGCATAAGTAACCGCCCACTAATGCCCATATAAGGGACTGCAGGGCCGTGTGCAGACGGCAGAGGAAACAGCAACAGGCCTAAAGCAGAGTTACACGGAGCAAAATAGTCACCCTTTTTTCTTCCTTTACCAGACTGAGAATAAAGTTATAAAATGTTGACTTAAAAGGCGAAATATTATGATAATAAAGTCGAACTAGCAAAATTATGAGATTAATCTAAGAATATGATGAGATAAATCTCAAAATGTTATGAGCTTAATTTAAAAAATATATTATGTATTATTTTAAAGATGAATCTCAAAATGTTTTGAGATTAATCTCAAAATATTTTGGACCCTGGGAGGAGATCCAGCGCGGACCAGCGCTGAGACCAATGCAGACCCGAGGAGAGACTGGAGTGACCAGCACACAGAAACCAGCGCGGACCTATAGGAGAGACCGCATAGACTGGAGTGACCTGACTGGAGTGACCTGACTGGAGAGACCGGTGCGCAGAGACCAGCGCGGACCGAAGAGAGACCGCATAGACCAGACTTGAGAGACCAGCGCGGACCCGTATGGATCCAGGAGCATGCAGCACGGACCCGTATGGAGAGAGACCAGTGCAGACCCGTATATGGGAGAGACCAGTGCAGACCCGTATAGATCCATGGGAGAGACCAGTGCAGACCCGTATAGATCCATGGGAGAGACCAGTGCAGACCCGTATATGGGAGAGACCAGTGCAGACCCGTATAGATCCATGGGAGAGACCAGTGCAGACCCGTATAGATCCATAGGAGAGACCAGCGCAGAGACTCAGCGCGGACCCAGTAACCTCCTGCAGCAGCAGTATATATGCCGTTGTTCTGTGGCCCGTGGATAAAGAAATGCCCCCTATAAATAGGAAGGGGTCACTAATACACGGCAAGATTTCCAATGTATTTGATAAAGCGTTGGCACATTTCATTTCAAAATGAATTAAAAAGTAGGCCAGATCTGCAGTGAAAAAGGCGGTATATAAATAAAGATTACTAATAAAGATTACTACAAATAAATAAATACATACATCGATATGACGGACATATCACTGGAATGTTGTATTTTTATTCAACTTCACCAAAGAGGACAACCCCGGCGTGTGAACATGTCGGCACTGAATGCGTACGAGTGCTCCAGAGGACTCGTAGGATTTGTACTTGCCCAAGAGAAATTCTGGTTACGAGAAATATTCGTGAATGCCACTTTCTTCGTAAAAACCGCGTAAGTAGGATTTACGTACAAATCTGTTCCTAAGAACCGTTCGTGAATGAGGCCCATTGTTACTAATCCTCTGCACCAACTTCTAAAACTCTCAGTTCTGTTCCGTCGTGGAGACAAAGCTCTGGAGGATATTGAGCTGTTTTCAGTCCATACATTATCTCCAGACATGCATTAGATGGACTTTATCATTTCTGAACTTGTCTTTCAACACTCCAGGTGCAAAACATGAAACGCCAAAGAAAAAATGTTCAAGATGATGTTTACAGAGAGTCAGGAACGTTGAGATTCTCCAACGGGACAAAGCAAAATGATGTTGTTTTAAAAAGATACAGAAATGTCTCTTTTGGAATGAGGAAATACGACTACATGTGTTTGTCCCGTTGGAGAATCTGGTTTGAACACAGTCAGAAAGTGTCAGATGAAGATAAAAACCACATGATTTAATTTACCTCATATTTTTATATTTTTATTTTAGTATATGTATTGGATTTCTTCAGTTATAAAAATGTTATTAATCAAAATCGTTTCTCACTCTAAATATGTTGATCTTGTTTTAATTACACATATTCACAAATTCAAAAGTGTAAAGCTCTCACATAAATACATTTTTAAGTAGGAGACTTTTATGGCTCTCAGATCAGAAGGTTAGGGACAGAAGTTAGGGATACGAGTACCTTAATGTGATTACTTTCAGATACCGAGTACTGCGCTGTGTTGTCTCTGGGAGTTCATAAAACTAATACAATTGAAATTTCAATGTTTTATTTCTCATTTCAACAATAATAAAAGGCTTTAACTATCAAACATTTTAGCAATTGTTTTAAAAGTCAACAATAAAAGCCACTGTCACATTCCACTCATACTAATGCTAGTTGTTGTTTTTGTGCTGGGTGCTAGCAAAGGTGCTATACTTTTCAGGTGCTTGATCAAGTTGCTGGTGTTATACGTGTTTGTTTTGGACACACACTCATCGCTTCACTCATCACTTGTTTACTTAAAGAAACTGCAGATCTTGTCCACTTGACGCTAAGCTAGCGGCTAAGCTAAGCTGCTCGCTGCTGGTTTTCTGTGATCACCATGGCAACACGTGCCGCACACACAGCTGTCTTCTGTGGTGATGCTAATGTAAACTGAAAATGTGGGCATCGGTTCCGGTGTTGGGTCCTATGGTATGAGTACTGGTATTGGTACTGGTATATGTACTGGTACAAGCCTATGGTATCAACCCGCTGCCTCCTGGTCCTGCTTATAGAGAGGCACATAGACTGGGTTTTTGCTTTAGAGCTACAGTTTAGAGCTACAGTTTAGAGCTACAGTTTAGAGCTACAGTTTATAGCTAAAGTTCAGAGCTAAAGTTCAGAGCTACAGTTTAGAGCTACAGTTTAAAGCTACAGTTTAGAGCTACAGTTTAGAGCAACAGTTTAGAGCTACAGTTTAGAGCTACAGTTTAGAGCTAAAGTTTAGAGCTACAGTTTAGAGCTACGGTTTAGAGCTACAGTTCAGAGCGACAGTTTAGAGCTACAGTTTAGAGGTACAGTTAGAGCTACAGTTTAGAGCAACAGTTTAGAGCTACAGTTTATAGCTAAAGTTTAGAGCTACAGTTTAGAGCTACGGTTTAGAGCTACAGTTCAGAGCGACAGTTTAGAGCTACAGTTCAGAGCTACAGTTCAGCGCTACAGTTTAGAGCTACAGTTTAGAGCTACAGTTCAGAGCTAAAGTTCAGAGCTAAAGTTCAGAGCTACAGTTTAGAGCTACAGTTCAGAGCTACAGTTCAGAGCTACAGTTCAGAGCTAAAGTTCAGAGCTAAAGTTCAGAGCTACAGTTTAGAGCTACAGTTTAGAGCTACAGTTTAGAGCTAAAGTTTAAAGCTACAGTTCAGAGCTACAGTTCAGCGCTACAGTTTAGAGCTACAGTTTAGAGCTACAGTTCAGAGCTACAGTTTAAAGCTACAGTTTAGAGCTACAGTTTAGAGCTAAAGTTTAAAGCTACAGTTCAGAGCTACAGTTCAGCGCTACAGTTTAGAGCTACAGTTTAGAGCTACAGTTCAGAGCTACAGTTTAAAGCTACAGTTTAGAGCTACAGTTCAGAGCTACAGTTCAGAGCTACAGTTCAGAGCTACAGTTCAGAGCTACAGTTTAGAGCTACAGTTTAGAGCTACAGTTTAGAGCTACAGTTCAGAGCTACAGTTCAGAGCTACAGTTCAGAGCTACAGTTCAGAGCTACAGTTCAGAGCTACAGTTTAGAGCTACAGTTTAGAGCTACAGTTTAGAGCTACAGTTTAGAGCTACAGTTCAGAGCTACAGTTCAGAGCTACAGTTCAGAGCTACAGTTCAGAGCTACAGTTCAGAGCTACAGTTCAGAGCTACAGTTTAGAGCTACAGTTTATAGCTAAAGTTTAGAGCTACAGTTCAGAGCTACAGTTCAGAGCTACAGTTCAGAGCTACAGTTCAGAGCTACAGTTTAGAGCTACAGTTTATAGCTAAAGTTTAGAGCTACAGTTTAGAGCTACGGTTTAGAGCTACAGTTCAGAGCGACAGTTTAGAGCTACAGTTTAGAGCTACAGTTAGAGCTACAGTTTAGAGCAACAGTTTAGAGCTACAGTTTATAGCTAAAGTTTAGAGCTACAGTTTAGAGCTACGGTTTAGAGCTACAGTTCAGAGCGACAGTTTAGAGCTACAGTTTAGAGCTACAGTTAGAGCTACAGTTTAGAGCTACAGTTCAGAGCTACAGTTTAGAGCTACAGTTTATAGCTACAGTTTAGAGCTACAGTTCAGAGCTACAGTTTAGAGCGACAGTTTAGACCGACTGTTTAGAGCTAAAGTTTAAAGCTACAGTTTAAAGCTACAGTTTAGAGCAACAGTTTAGAGCTACAGTTCAGAGCTACAGTTCAGAGCTAAAGTTCAGAGCTAAAGTTCAGAGCTACAGTTTAGAGCTACAGTTTAGAGCTACAGTTTAGAGCTACAGTTTAGAGCTAAAGTTTAAAGCTACAGTTTAGAGCTACAGTTTAGAGCTACAGTTCAGAGCTACAGTTCAGCGCTACCGTTTAGAGCTACAGTTTAGAGCTACAGTTTAGAGCTACAGTTCAGAGCTACAGTTTAGAGCTACAGTTTAGAGCTACAGTTTAGAGCTACAGTTCAGAGCTACAGTTCAGCGCTACAGTTTAGAGCTACAGTTCAGAGCTACAGTTCAGAGCTACAGTTCAGAGCTACAGTTCAGAGCTACAGTTCAGAGCTACAGTTTAGAGCTACAGTTTAGAGCTACAGTTCAGAGCTAAAGTTCAGAGCTACAGTTCAGCGCTACAGTTTAGAGCTACAGTTTAGAGCTACAGTTTAGAGCTACAGTTCAGAGCTACAGTTTAGAGCTACAGTTCAGAGCTACAGTTCAGAGCTACAGTTCAGAGCTACAGTTCAGAGCTACAGTTTAGAGCTAAAGTTCAGAGCTACAGTTTAGAGCTACAGTTTAGAGCTACAGTTTAGAGCTACAGTTTAGAGCTAAAGTTTAAAGCTACAGTTTAGAGCTACAGTTTAGAGCTACAGTTCAGAGCTACAGTTCAGCGCTACAGTTTAGAGCTACAGTTTAGAGCTACAGTTTAGAGCTACAGTTCAGAGCTACAGTTTAGAGCTACAGTTTAGAGCTACAGTTTAGAGCTACAGTTCAGAGCTACAGTTTAGAGCTACAGTTCAGAGCTACAGTTCAGAGCTACAGTTCAGAGCTACAGTTCAGAGCTACAGTTCAGAGCTACAGTTTAGAGCTACAGTTCAGAGCTAAAGTTCAGAGCTACAGTTCAGAGCTACAGTTTAGAGCTACAGTTTAGAGCTACAGTTCAGAGCTACAGTTCAGAGCTACAGTTCAGAGCTACAGTTCAGAGCTACAGTTCAGAGCTACGGTTCAGAGCTACGGTTCAGAGCTACGGTTCAGAGCTACAGTTTAGAGCTACAGTTTAGAGCTAAAGTTTAAAGCTACAGTTTAGAGCTACAGTTTAGAGCTACAGTTTAGAGCTACAGTTTAGAGCTAAAGTTTAAAGCTACAGTTTAGAGCTACAGTTTAGAGCTACAGTTCAGAGCTACAGTTCAGCGCTACAGTTTAGAGCTACAGTTTAGAGCTACAGTTTAGAGCTACAGTTTAGAGCTACAGTTCAGAGCTACAGTTTAGAGCTACGGTTCAGAGCTACGGTTCAGAGCTACAGTTTAGAGCTACAGTTCAGAGCTACAGTTCAGAGCTACAGTTTAGAGCTACAGTTCAGAGCTACAGTTCAGAGCTCTCTGTGATGTCTGTAGCGTTGGTACCGTCGGAGTCTGGCTCACACTGCTGCCTGCGGAGGAAGTGAGCGAGCAGGTTGCGGGCGCGGCGCTCCAGGTCCGACCCGGGGAAGTGCAGGTGCAGGTAAGCTAGCAGCTGGTGCAGACACTCGTAGGTGGGAGGGGTCCAGAAGTCCTCCGAGTACTGGTCCAACCACGCGCCCAGGATCGAGGACACCGTACTGAGACAGAAACACAAGTTAGAGCATCATTCTCTGGCCAACAGTGGTACTGCAGCCTCTCCCACTCTCCCTGACTCAGGTTGCCAGATATGCAGACGAATCCAGCTGGGACAGATATAGAATAGAGGGGATAGGAATCCTGGTTTTATTCCTTGTTTTGTCGTTATTGATTTGAGAATCATAACGAGACCTTTTTTATTTCTGTGCCACATGGTACTCCACGCTGTGAGTTCATGTTCTGGTTTGTTATGTTTGTCTTTGTGTGTCTATATGTACCTGTGTCTCTCTGTGTCTCTATGTACCTGTGTCTCTCTGTGTCTCTATGTACCTGTGTCTCTGTGTGTCTATATGTACCTGTGTCTCTCTGTGTCTATATGTACCTGTGTCTCTCTGTGTCTCTATGTACCTGTGTCTCTCTGTGTCTCTATGTACCTGTGTCTCTCTGTGTCTATATGTACCTGTGTCTCTCTGTGTCTATATGTACCTGTGTCTCTGTGTGTCTATATGTACCTGTGTCTCTGTGTCTGCATGTACCTGTGTCTCTGTGTCTATATGTACCTGTGTCTCTGTGTCTATATGTACCTGTGTACACTGACTGACTTCAGGTGGATGTATTAAACAAAGTTTGATCAAAGGTACGGCAGATTATAATAAGTTTATCATTTTAGTCCAGCGCAGGCCGCGGACATCAGACTGGGGAACGTGCACCAGGTCAGTCCAATTCAATTCAAATAACTTTATTGATCCGTGACGAACAGACGGAGCACCAGTGGGAGTACATAAACATACAGAAACACATTAAAGGAGCAGAACTGCATTTATTGAGCTGTTAAAAGTCTGGAGGAAGCTGGATGTGTCCCTTTATGTTCTGAATGAGAGGGACCTGAACCTACGCCCTGATGGGAGCAGACTGCAGCTCGGTCTGGGTTGCGTCTGGTCCGAGTAAACGTACATCCTCCACTCTGCTCCTCTCTGCCTCGTGTTTATCTAACGCTCTGTCCTCACATTTATTAGTTTCTTATCTCGGGGAGGGCTGCGTTCTCTCAGGCTATCACTGAAATCCCACTCCCTCTGTGGGGGGGAGGTTATTGGACACAGCTCACTGAAGCCCATCGTGTTTTGATACTTGGATATTTAAACCGACTCCCACTGGTTTCTTCCAGCTGCACGTCTGACTTTCACTTTGCCCGTTTGGAGTTAGAGGAGAATCATCAGTAACTTTTAACGTCCAAATGATTCTCTGCTGACTGACTACAGATATTTAGAGTAACACATTATGATTACAGAATACAAAATCTACTGTTTATGTTACAGCTGCACAAACATAACTTCTTTTTTATTTTATTTTATTCAAACTCATCCGTCTCATTCCCAAAGCCGCGGTGTAATGGGCCTTGTCGTCTACAGTAGTTTGGACACATGTTTTTCAGATTTCTATCAGAACTAACTCTAACCCCGTCAAAGGTATCCAAGACAAAAACAAATATAAGCCAAGAATTTCTCTTTATACATTTTAAACTGTATCAGAAAAATATTGTGAGCTCAAGGAAATTATTATCATGAAGAAAAGTAAAAATGCATTTTCTTCTGTTGAACCTTTTCATAGTTAATCAGAACAAGATCGAGACATTCAGAGCAACATGCTCAATGGCACTACCGGCTGTCGTTAGCTATGGCCTAGCATGCTAGCACTTAGTATGCACACCTATGAGAGTTGTTAGCCATTAGCTTAGCATGCTTATGCTAACCTATATTTCAATGGTACCTCCAGTTATCATTATGTTCTGTGATTTTAATGACGATAGCACACTCTGACAAAACAACTGTGAACTTTGACAATACCTTTGTATTTTATGCATTTTGGCTGCTTGCATGAGGACTAATGAGACTATTGTCATGACACTGTAAATATGTAAACATGCTTTGGGAAAGCGTAATACAATGACACATCTGTGCTTTATACCAAAGTAATAAAACCTTGATGTTGTCCAAGAGTGTAGAGCAGATACGTACTTTCTGAGCTCTATGCACTCGTCCTGAGAGACTCTGTGAGCAGTGACAGGCACATTCTGGAGCTTAGCATATCTGAAAACACAAACAACGTTAGATAGAAATCATGGTAAAACAAACGTATACAAAATCCATCTCCCTCTTTCACCAAAGTGCACCTTTGAGAATCTGCTTTAAACCTGCACCTCTCCTTTTCCACAGGGCTTCGTCTTTCAGCCCTCTACTGTCCTTCACAACTTCTCACCCACACTGTTTCTACTTTTGCCAAAAAGAACATTATTTTTGAACCGGCGTTAGCTGCTAACGCCGGTTAGCTAAAGGGGACACTCGTGGATAGATGCAAAGGAAGGTTTCTCGCCCATCATCTGTACTTCTTAGCAAGTTTTCCCGACGTTGTCGACAGATGATGGGTGAGAAACCTTCCTTTGCTTTGACTAATCCCTGTACGACTGAGGGCTTACACAAACTCGTGGATAGATGTATCATATCATCTGGATAAAGGTATTGCTAGCTTAAGCCCCGGATGGGGGTGGGTCACCCGCACTTCCACAGACTGCATTCACCAGAGTTACCCAGGAAATGTTCCCAAACCAGAGTTAACAAAAAAGGCTCGTCCTCAACTGTCACAGAACCTCCAGCTTTCTCAAAGGTTGGGTTCAGTGTCATCTTCTTTTTCAGTTAAAATCCATCGGTTTTCTATAAATCCACACGTCTGTGCAACAGACTCGTTCTGGTCAGTTCTAATCTGTGCTGTGCAGGTCTGTCCCCGTCTCCTTCTGAACACTGCAGCTGTGTGGGACAGTGTTCTGACCAATCAACAGCTCTGATTGGTCAGAACACGTTCTCCTCTACAATACTACAAACAGCGCAAGACGTAAGGAAACTCCTCAATTATTTTTTTTCACACTTCTCAATTAAATAAACAACTGGCATTTTTTTCAAAATATTAGAAAATCACACAAAAGTTGCGATATTTGTCGTTCAAAGATTACTATTTTCTTTTTGCATCAGTCTAGATCTAAAGTATCCGCCGCCCCCTGGTGGTGGGTGTGGGAGGTACCGGTTCAGCAGCAGGTCCAGCACTTGTCTGGTGGAGGCGAAGGAGCGGTAGGTACAGAGGAAGATGGTGACGTAGGTGGAGTCCCGGTCCTTAAACGCCGTCACCATGTACTCCACCAGCCGCTCCAGGGTCCCCGCCTTGATGGTCCGCAATTTACAGGTCTCATACAAGCTCAGGGCCGCCTCGGAGTCCACGCCCAGCCACCGCTGCCCCTTACTGGCCGAGTGGTGCAACTGCATCTTCCGCAGCGTGATGGTGAAGACCGCATCCTCCTCGGACTCTTCTCCGATCTCCTGAGTGGAGCTCTGCAGACAGAAGGAGAGAGGAGGAGGGAGGAGGGAGGAGGGGAGAGAGGAGGGAGGAGGGGAGAGGAGGAGAGAGGAGGCGAGAGGAGGGAGGAGGAGAGAGGAGGAGAGAGGAGGAGTCAGGGACAATAATAATAATAACTAACTGTAACTCAGTATTAAACCTTATCCCAGTAATTTTCAAACTCTCCATTCGCTGCTAAATGTTAATTACATGGAACTGTGACTATGTAAGTAAGCTGTTATTCAACTACACTTAAATATATGTTATAATAATAAACTTAATAATAAATACATCAAACATATATAGTGTTTTTTGGACAACGCTTTACAAAACATACAAAATAATCCATAACATTGAAATAAGCAAGAGCTCTGGTGTGTGTCGTCTGGTGCACTCCGGGGTAGTCTTGCACAGTTTTTCCAATGTGGTTTTACTGCAAATGGCAAATAAATGAATCTGAATCTGAATCTGAATAAAGAAAAGACTATGAGTGTGAGCGGCACATTCAATTTACATTGAATCTCCCATTTATTTTGTAACAGTTCAAACACAGGAAATGCGATGTTAAATAATCCCTAGTGATAGTGGTCCATAATGCCACGCAACCGAAACCCACATTTTATATTTACATTGAAGTCATGATAGCAGACAGCCGTGTTGCCATGGTGATCTCCCAAAGTCGGCAGCGCTCTCTGCTAACTTAGCAGCAAGTGGACAGTATGTAAGCCCTATAGCGGTTTTTTTAAAGCAAACGAGTGACAAGAGTAAAGCCAAAGTCCAAAACAAACACGTACAACACCAGCAACCGATTGAACATCTGAAAACTCACCACACAGAGCACAAAAACAACCAACTCTGCAACCAACTTTGGAGAAGCCGCTATTTGTATCATTTGTATGAGTGGAATATTACAGTGGCTCTTTGTGTTGACTGTTAAAGCAATTGCTAAAGTGTTATCATATCGGTATTCGGTATTGGCAAGTGAAGAAGATGACAAAGTCTGGGATCGCGTCTTTAATTCTGACAGAAGACATGTTTTATTGTCGATGGTAGAGACAGCACGATCACAGATACAACAGAATGCAAGTGTATTATACAGAGCGGAGGCATGGAGACCTCCAATCAGCAGCTGCCACAGTGCCATGTAGCTTGGCCTTCAGATAGATAAAACAAGGGAAAAGTACAGGCTTCTGCACATTGATAGAATGATGAGTTTAACTTTAACAAAATTTGCTTAAAAGTGTTATGAAATCTCACACAAGTCAAATTAAGGTACTGGTATCGGTGCATCCGTAACAACCACAACTCTGTCTGTATCGCAATATGTTAAGATTACATTAATATTCAATTGTGGCCCAAATATCTCAATACTATCAAAACCCCACATTTCCAATTCCCGCGATTTTTTAACCTGACAATACCACGTTTATGACAGATTTTACAGACTTATCACACTTTCTAGAATCCCCAAAGACAATGAACAAAGTGTCTGAAGCAGGAGGTGAGAGTTGCCTTGACCTCTGTAGAAAACCCTGCTCTGTTTACAGTCTCCTCCTTCTGCCTGTGGTGTGTTTAGTGTCGGCTTCATCTCTGCCGCTGCCATAGAAACATGTGAGAGTGTGGGAACAGACCGTTACTGTAGACAAATACTCAGACCCAAAGAGAGGCCCGGCAGGTGGCTCCAGGGTTCAGTCCTGGAGCCAGAGAGCAGAGGTCCTTTTGGCCTCGTTTTACACAGATATTTGTGTGAAATGTTGATGTTCTCATGCACTTCCTCCAACATCATTGAACCGCAAGTATAACATGAAAACTAAGAAAAGGGTGTGGCCTGTGAGTACTGTGCTGATTAGATCATAGGACTCCAACGCTCTGGTCTCTCTCTCTGGTCTCTCTCTCTGGTCTCTCTCTCTGGTCTCTCTCTCTGGTCTCTCTCTCTGGTCTTTCTCTCTGGTCTCTCTCTGGTCTCTCTCTGGTCTCTCTCTGGTCTCTCTCTGGTCTCTCTCTGGTCTCTCTCTGGTCTCTCTCTGGTCTCTCTCTGGTCTCTCTCTGGTCTCTCTCTGGTCTCTCTCTGGTCTCTCTCTGGTCTCTCTCTGGTCTCTCGCTATCTCTCTCTGGTCTCTCTCTCTCTCTGGTCTCTCTCTGGTCTCTCTCTGGTCTCTCTCTGGTCTCTCTCTGGTCTCTCTCTGGTCTCTCTCTGGTCTCTCTCTCTGGTCTCTCTCTGGTCTCTCTCTGGTCTCTCTCTGGTCTCTCTCTGGTCTCTCTCTGGTCTCTCTCTGGTCTCTCTCTGGTCTCTCTCTGGTCTCTCGCTATCTCTCTCTGGTCTCTCTCTGGTCTCTCTCTGGTCTCTCTCTGGTCTCTCGCTATCTCTCTCTGGTGTCTCTCTCTCTCTGGTCTCTCTCTGGTCTCTCTCTGGTCTCTCTCTGGTCTCTCTCTGGTCTCTCTCTGGTCTCTCTCTGGTCTCTCTCTGGTCTCTCTCTGGTCTCTCTCTGGTCTCTCTCTGGTCTCTCTCTGGTCTCTCTCTGGTCTCTCTCTGGTCTCTCTCTGGTCTCTCTCTGGTCTCTCTATCTGGTCTCTCTCTGGTCTCTCTATCTGGTCTCTCTCTCTGCTGGTCTCTCTCTCTGGTCTCTCTCTCTGGTGGCTAAGTCCTGGTTCTCACATAAAGTCTGTTGAGTCCACCTTGACTTTTCTCCAGTCCAGTTTGAGTCCAGTTTGAGTCCAGTTATAATCCGTGGCTATGACCCGGACTGCAGACAGGACATAGCAGGAGGCTGTGAGGGACGTCCCAGGACAGGTGCAGATAAATGTGGCTCGGGACCAGGGAAAGGATCAATGAAGCTGGACAAAGGCTCTTTCAGCTCGTGTTGTCTCTGGGCATGAACATTAACGAGTGTCAGAGAAACGCTGATCACGGCTGACAGATCCACAGGCCACGATCGGGCTTTACTCTTGTATCGCCCTGAATCACAAAAGTAGTATCTCTGAGGACTTTACACAGATCAGAGAATCAAATAGTTCAAACAGAAATGCTAAGATAAAAACACAGACACATTGGTCCATACGGAGCAGAGACCAGGGTCCATGTTGATAAAGTTCTGCTTGACTTTCAGGTTTTTGCATCTTTTCCTTCCTTTCCTGGAGAATACCAACGATCGGAACAAATATTATAAAATCTGACACTAGTGGATTATTGCTCCCAGCAAATTGTTTGTCAATATTATATATATATATATATATATATATATATATATATATATAGCGCTCTTGCCTCTCAGCAAGAAGGTTCAAGTCCCGGTCGGGCCAGGGCCTTTCTGAGTGGAGCTTGCATGTTCTCCCCGTGTCTGCCTAGGTTTCCTCCGGGTGCTCCGGTTTCCCCTACCACTAAAAACATGTACAATAGGTCTGGCATGTGCCTCCTGTACTGGCCCCGCTCCCATCTCTGTGTGGAGTGAGAGACAAATGCCCAAAAATAATAACAATTGTAAACCACTTTGGGACTCTGATCTGTGAAAGGCGGTATATTAATAAACATTACTTACTTACTACTACTATTATCATTGAAAGTGGTGTGTCCTGGATGATCACCACTTTTAACTCTTACGTTAACGTTCATGTCTCCCGTGGATTACCGTATACAGTTATATATTTGCACACACATTTTCCTTGCGTCTCCTCTGTGTTTGTTTCTCTATTGTAAGGACTTGATTTGTGCCATGTTCAATTATAGCTTCTTTCCGGGAGTCCTAAGACTGCTACACCGGGCCTAACTCTGTCTCTGTGTTATTGTGTTATTGTGTGTTCTGAATACAGCTCTGAACAGAAACAGAAGCCATTCAGGCGTACTATCAATACATTGTTTTACTGTTTTCAGATGCTTTTGCTAAAACAAAACACGTACAATTGAATAATATGTGCAATAAATGACCCTTAAAAGAAAGAGAAACACAGGAGGTTAGTTCTACAACAGTTTGGTCTAAATCTGTGTCTGCTTTATTTGACCACGGCTCTGGAAACAGTGGAGAGCAGAGTGAGAATGACACCGGGTTTAGTCGGTGTGAAAAGGAGTCTTGTTGCTGAGGCCGTGGACGGTAACATCACAACCAGACATTTCTACAGAGACACAGGCTATAATTAAACATGACACATTTCAAAGACCAGTGCGAGTCTTTACAATAGAGAAGCAAACACAGAGGCGACGCAGGGATCGCAACGAGTCGGGCTGTATCCTCCTGGTTTCACATCTACAGGGATTGTGAGATTTTGGGAATTTTCAACTTTCCCAAAGGATTTAAGGGAATTTAAGGTTGACCTTATAGGGAACTTAAAGGTAAAGGTGCCTTATTAATAACCGTAGGGTAATTTAAACTTAAATATAGTTGAGGACAGTATAGTATCTTCGGAAACACTTTAGATTAGTCCTCAATAATTAACAGCTAATTAAGTGCTAATTAGTCTACCCTAACCCTAACCTTAACCCACATGCAAAAAGTAGTTATTTAGGACTAATAAACACCAATTAAGAGCGAATCAACCATCAATTACACACTAATTAGCACTTAATTAGCTGTTATTGATGAGGGCTAAAGTGTGACCGTATATTTTTAGCATAAAATTGACTAAAACAAACAGACATCGTTCCAATAAACTTTAAATATCTAAGTGATTTCTCATTCCCACATGTAGCTGCTACTGAGACCACGCCTCCTACTGGCCATGATTAATTCCCAGATAATGAATATTTCCAAATTCCCAGCTTAACTTTCCATAGAAATGATCTGAAAACTTTCCAGACCGTTTGTAGTTTTAAAAATGTTTTGCTTTTATTCTATATTTTGTTTATTTACTTATGTACATCCCACATATACGCTCGCTGTATATCTGTATAAATAAGTCCAATCATTTGTAAAAGAAACTCGTGGAGAGTCTGTTGACCTACTTTAGCAGGAAGTGCAGCGACCATGTTTGGACTTCCTAATGTAATTTAATAAAATAATGTAAT